ACCAGCCCTGTGGCCACTCACTCAACTCCTATCCCTGCACACCCTGGGATGGGGAGGACAAAGCCCATCTAGAAGCTCATAGGTCGAGACAAAGGGCAAGGAGGGTTCTTTACCGATTAAGGTTGCAGGCAGAACAGACTCAACTTAGGGAAAAATAATAATTTAACACTAATCCAAAGCGCACAGGACACAACACACAGAACTCTAACTGATTCACAGGTCTGCCCACACACTGGTTGCTTTTAGCTGTTGCATCTGCTAAGTTGACCAGGGTCAAACCAGGTTAGTAGCTGAGTGGATGACCTCAAAGGTACACTTGTTTTGTGGCAGAAAATTTTTAGTAATTCAGTTGGTGGCAGGCTCTTAGAGCCTGAATCTCTCTCCCAGAACGGCATTAGTGAGGAGTTTGCAGGTGTAATTCTGGCTTTCAGATGAACTGAAGTTGAATCTCAGACCACCTTGTTCACAAAGAAAAAAACGGAAACAACAAAAACCAAAATGACCAAAAAACCCAAACCCACACATGAAACAGCGTAAAAATGAACACATCTGGCCATACTCCAGTACTTCTGCTTCCACTTCAAAGGAGGAGGGGAATGTTATTAGGGCAATTTTGGAAGCTGAGCACATCTAAGTGCCTACTATTATGCCTCTAATACAGTTGCACACTTGAAGTCTTTACCACCTCCTACACTTATGAGGAGGGAATGTGATTTCTGATATTGGTGAATGGTTCTCAGCACATGAAGCAAAGTGGACAAACACCTTCTTTTGTGTCTACAGATGGCCGGATGCTTTGATCTGTGAGCTGATGCATCTGCATTAGGCAGTGGAGGCAGAGGGAGGGGGAAAGACAGAAAAAGCAAAGGCAGTTGCCAAAATTGGCATCCAGCCCCAGCTCTTGAATATGTTGGACCACCCTGAAAAGCATTCATATTAGTGTTGAGTAGTATAATTATTAGATTGTTGGTGTATGTCCCAGCAGAGTATGTGATTTTGTTATTCTTTAAAATATGACCAGACTAAATATGTTGTCAGTGTCTTCAAAACAAATCTAATATTATTGCTATCTTTGAGCCAAAAGGGTGCTGGATTTTGCATTCCTTTTTTCAGTGCTCAGTCTTATATGTTGTGCTCATACTGCTTTGTTGGATGACAGTACTGCTCTGTAATGTTAGGGGCTGCCCTTGAGGTCTTCAGACCATTTTGGGGAAAAAAAACTAAGGATCATTGGTAACTTTTTTTTTTTTTTTTCTGGGTAATAATGCAGAGTATGTCAAGAAAGGGCACTATTCTGTGTTTTCTTCATAGTCACTGGATTCCTCAGTGGCCTCCCTTATTTTCTATAAAGCTTTCTGGAATAATTAGAAAGCAAAATGTGTTGCATATGTAGTAGTTTAATTCCACAGAGTTATTCTATTCTAGGTATTTTTATGAATTCTGTGAATTAAAATGCATTTCCTTATAGTGCTAACCTTTGGCATGCTGTTGCACGTCTTGTAGTCTGCACACCTTGGTTGCCTCTGTTGAGACTCCAGCCCTATTTCTTCTGATCAGCAATATCTATGACAGCAGCTTAATTGCTACATGCATTTTTACTCTTTGGCAATTATGTTTCGGATTGGTGTCAGTGTATCTATTTGCCCCAGGGTGGGTTGTATATTAAATGTCAGTAAACAAACAGTTAACTAGCTACACAACCCGCAGTGGAGCAAAACCCCTTATGATTATGAGGCAGCCCATCTGAAAGGCAAGGGAAAGGAAATATTTTAATTATTTTTAGCTGTTACTGTCAGGGAGCAAAAGCAGGAATTATATTTCAACTGTTGTGGCAGAAGCTATTTACACTTACTGTCTTTGACCTCCATAATATCACATTAATGATTTCACATTTATATGGAGCTTTATCTTTCATTCCTTTTCTCCTCCCAAAATTTCTGAATATTCATAAGCATTAATTTACCACTACTTACAGCTATTTTGCAGATGACATTCAGCTGTAATGTAAAAACTTAAGAATACTGTTTCTAGGTGAAGTAGTGGGGACAATTCAAGTAATTTAGTGGATTTACTAAAATTTGAAGTGACACAGAACTACAAGCTTAATATATGGAATATTAGAAGACAGGACTGTAAAATTTTAGTGAGCATATATGGTCAAGAACTCAGTTGTATTTAGGATGGTGCACGTGGACAGAGATGCATCCACATAACAGTCATCAAATTCAGAACAAGGAGCTTGGGTTAGACATCCTTCTGTCTGTAAATGCAGTAACCAGTAAACACATGTGATTTCCACATGAAGTCTGTAGGCCTGTTGCAGTTTTTACACTGTAAATATATTTTTTCCTGCTCCACTTTTCTTTGAGTATGACCTTATATGTTTTTTTCTTTTTAATAAAAATGGTTGGTGTGTAAAATGCAATTTGGTATATTGTAAATAGAACAGCCAGCACAGTAGATATGCAGTGTGTAGGAAGGTAGTGAATTGTCACTGGGTTTCATTTTGAAGGAACCCTGTCACCATAGGTGACATTTTAATTGTGCCCTCTTATTTAAAATGCCTGCCTAATGCTCCTTTCAGCTAAAAACTTCCTTTTAGTTTCAGAATGACTGGATTAATGTTTACGGAGATCAGCATTTGGATGATTAGTGATTAGTGTTGTCAACCTACTGTGGAATATAGACTCAACCAATCATGCTCAAAGAAAAATTCCTGATTGTATTGCCATGGAGCTCTATAATCTGTAGTACAGATGTATAAACATGTAAAGTGGCTCATCATAGATGAGCTAAAAAAGTAATTCACTGCTGTGGTGGTAGGAAAGCTTTAATGTGAAAATTTTTACGGTGACTTTGTGCATTTTTCAAATAGATAGGTTTTTTTTCAAGTGGAAGGATTTCACTGTCAGTTTAGAGCTCAACAGGTGGACAGATGAAGTGGTCCCATGCCTTTCTATAGCTGGAGTGAATGTAGAATTTAAAGGAAGTTATCACTGCATTGAGGGGCACAATAACACAGATTCATTAGGAAAGGTCATTAAAAATTAACCCCTGAGGAACTCATGTTAGAACACACATCTGGTGAACTGATGATACCGTAAGACACCAAGTTGCAACGTGCAGTCTTGGAGCCAGATCTGAATGTCAGTTGCTAAGAACCTCTACAGTTTACTTAGAATAATTCTGTCTTAATTTATTTTTAGTCTGACTGATGTGGCTTTTCACTGATCCTGATGATTGAATGATATATGAAGAGCCTGTTGTCCTCTAAAGGCTGAGGAAAAGTTGTTGGTTTGTTTTTTTTTTTCTTTCTAACAACACTTCCAAGGAAAAAAACCAAGAAACCAAAATCAACCCTCTGAACTTTGTTGGCTTTCTTCAAAGCTGGCTTAAGCTTGTCACCTTATCTTAATCTCAATATTGTAATGCTGAGTCAATAATGCCACTATGCTTTCTAGTGATTCAGAACCTGTGTATAGGAACAGAATTTCTGCTGGACCAAGGATTCTTATTTTTGTGCTTCACTTCTCATGTAATGTCTAAATGCTGAACAATGGATCAAAATTTTGGGGCACTGAAACAGGCACATATTTTTACAAAATGGTCATAGATTCCACGGTAGTCAGTCTTGAAAGCTATATAGTGATGTCTTAATCACAGACCTTTATTGAAGTAAAGGCAGAATCCTGGACAATGGATTTTGCCAGCTAGGCAAGACTGAAGTAGAACCATAGGACTATTGACATTGCTTTGTTTGATATGTGTCTGTCTGAACAGATTTTAAATGTATGTTTCATCTTCTAGAGAAAAAAGAAAGTAACTATATTAGACATGTTTTAAAAACATAATCTATTTGTTGACCTTGCGTTTTCAGCAGTCCCTCTATGTAAACCTAAATATTTAGATGAAAATAACATTCAAAGATTTGTAGCTGAGACACTTTCCTTTTTCTGCTGTTTTTCTTAATGAATGTAAGGAAAGATGTCAATTCACCTTCTTTTCCACTCCATTAAAATACATGCTAAGCAGTTTTCTGAAATCACCGCAGCAACATTATTTTGCAAGCTAATGGGAGTACTTTTTGAAATGTTTGATCAAATCTTACTGTGTATTCATGTATGCACACTTGTACACATGAAATGATACATCTGTGATTTTAGTTCCATTTTTTTCCTTTCTGTACTGCTGACTTCACATACAGATTGAATTGAGAATATTTTATAACTTAATTGTTTCTCTTCTTTAAAAATTCACAGTTTCAAGATTTTAAAGAGATGTTAGTTTATTTATGATTTATTGATTATTTCCTGCTATCTAACCAAATTAGAGTAAAAACATACTTGGGCAGCCTGGGTCTTTAGCAACTTGGTATATGGGAATGTTTTAAACAGAAATAGTTTATTTTCAAAATCAAGGATATGCTTTGTATTTCTCTTTCTATGGGAATCAAAAGTAATGAGGTAATTGTTGTGAAATCTGTGTCCACTGTTTTCGAAATAAAAATTGTTATTTGTCATGAGATTTTGTATTTGTATGTATATCATAATTCAGTGAAGTGTGAAATAAAAGGTATTTCACTTTGTGTTCCCATACATAAACTTCCAGATACAGTGAAAATGGCCTTGCCAACTTGCAAATTAAAAAACTAAATGTATAACATGTTACAATAAGACATTCCATGCATTTAGGGAAAGTAGCTGACCAAACAGTCTGTTACTAGATGGACTCCCTTATGTTCTCCAGAACATGTGATACAGTGGTTCCAGATAGGTGGTCTAATGAGCAATTATAACGTATCTAAAAAATTTATCTAGTATCTCTTCTGTATTTAAGTGTATAGTTTATTTTGAATCACTTAATTGACAAAGGAAACAAAAATATATTCTGCAGAATTTTGCAGTGACTAAATTTTTGGGTACTGAACACACTGATGATGGTAGAGTTCAAGGGACTGTATTTAGGGAAAATCACTTTTCTCTGTTTTTATTTTCCCCCAGATCCAGCCATTGTAAATGGAGTGTATTGGTCAGAATCTTTAAATAAGGTGTTTGTGGATAACTTTGATCGTGATCCTTCTCTCATCTGGCAATACTTTGGAAGTGCAAAAGGATTTTTCAGACAATATCCAGGTAAGAAGATTACAGGTTCTTACTTAAAATACAGGAATGGTATGGCTGCAAAATTTCATTGAGTATGGTCACACTTTAACAGTAACTTGAGGTTTGATTTTACTTTACCCAGTTTTTGGAGAGGGATATTTCTATTCAACATTTACATTCTGAGTTTTTGTGGTTTTTTTTACCAATTTGCATTTGGAAGTGAAGCTCCCAGAATAACTCCTAGTCATTACTATTCTGCTATACCTATACAGATGTATGAAAAACAACTTCTAAACAGACTGTGGAGAAAGGAGGGCAAAAGGATTAGACCCTTCATATAGTACTGAAATTAGTTATTGTGGTCTATTGATGAATACAGTAAGACAATTCTAATTTGTTGTCCTGTACTTAGACTTCCACTTACCTGACCTCTTTACATATAAAGACTTCAAAAGCTTGTTTTAAAGGTTACTTTCACATCACTTGTAATAAAATGAAATTAGATAACTTCTGTTATTTCTATAGAAACAGTTTAAAATATGTTGTTACCTTTGAAGTTTTATCTTTAAACACATATCAATATGAAAGTCCATTAAATACTACTTTGTCCCAGTGCCATAAATATACTTTGAACAGGTTCTGTGAAAATGTTTTAATATTTTTATTTCGTTTTTTAAACAGGAATTAAATGGGAACCTGATGAAAATGGAGTCATTGCATTTGACTGCAGAAATAGAAAGTGGTAGGCAATAGATGACTATCAGAGATTTGAAAGGAAGAAAAGTTGAGTGTTTAAAGGAATAAGATGTTTTGTCTTTTGTCTTAGGTACATCCAGGCAGCAACTTCTCCAAAAGATGTGGTAATTTTAGTAGATGTTAGTGGCAGTATGAAAGGGCTTCGATTGACTATTGCAAAACAGACAGTTTCATCTATTTTGGATACCCTTGGAGATGATGACTTCTTCAATATAATTGCTGTGAGTGTCTCGGGATTTTTCTTCCTTTTTTCCTTCCATAATTGTTGTTATCTGTCGTGTTTTACATCAAACAGTACAGTTGAAAAATGTTGCAGTCAGGTGGTGGATATAAGATGACATCTGAACCAACTGGACAAACACTGATTTTTCTTATGTGATAGTGTTTTCAAAGTGTTTTTATATGAGTTGCAATCTGAAACCCCTTGCACATATTGTCTTGAGTTTGATAGTTCCAAATATAGTAGTCTGTTTTGTAGTTTGCCTAAACTTTCTGCATTACCTTTAATTTTTAACTTTGAGGTGTGTCCCCCTACCCTTGTTATCATGGTGTCTCTTCCTCCCTGTTTCTTTCCCTCCCCCTCAGCTTTTTCAGTACAGTGCAAATTGCAAATGGTTAATATGTAAGAATTAATAATAGAATAGTTTGGGTTCAAAGGGACCTTTAAAGAACACGAAGTCCAACCCCCCTGCAATGAGCAGGGACAGATCATGTTGCTCAGAGGCTCGTCCAACGTGATCTGGAATGTTTCTGGGGATGGGGCATCTGCCACTTTTCTGTGCAACCTGTTCCTGTGTTTCACCACCCTAATTGTAAAATCTTTCTTCTTTATATCTAGTCTGAATTTACCCTTTTTTAGTTTAAAACCATTACCCCTCTTCCTCTCCTACCAGACCCTGCTAAAAAATTTATCCCCAGAATAGAACCAAATCTTACCTTTGTTGAAGCTTCAAAGGCATAAAAGGCCAGCACAGCTCCCACAGTTCACGCTTCCTCAGTGTGAATCTGAAATGTATGTGCAGAGCTCAGTGATAAATTAGATCATCAGTAGTTCTTGTTACTCGTGTATGGTAGTTAGATTTCCATGTTACTGGTATGTCTTATCTATGAAAAGAGGATATTTTTACAGTATTTAAAAGTAATAGGATTAATCATGTAAGTAAGATGGCTTTAAAAAGTCCAAAACTGGCATTGAGACAATGCTTGGGCTGGGGGAGAGGGAGGAGGAATTGGTGGCTTTTTAAATTCTGCTTTGTTGATAATATTTTGCTAATACTTTATAAATAGTAACAATGTCTTCAAACTCTTAAATGTTAGGAGAATTTTGGCCTTTTTTGTTACTAGGCAAGTGCTCTTTGTGTACTAAAATAAATTACCCTACAGACACCTGTACCAAATGCTGAGATTGCAGTAAGAGTGAAGTATATTCAAGGCCAGGTTGGATGGGGCTTAGAGCAATCTGGTCTAGTGGAAGGTGTCCCTGCCTATGCAGAGGGGTCGTAATGAGATGATCTTTAAAGTCCCTTCCAATCCAAACCATTCTGTGATTCTATGTATGTTTGCATTTACTATATGTGTGCATTTACTGTAATTTTAACAGATAGATAGCCGTAAGTTCACAATAACATTTTTATCAATTTCCTTGCATGATAATTGTGTAATTAGTAGAAACTCACACAGTAGAAAGACATAATTACATACTGTATCAAAAAAAGGTTTACTGTCCTTCAAAAAATTAACTCTAATCGAAATAACTTTGGTAAATTTTAGGAATGTTTCTACAAAGTAATTATTAAGATACTTGACCAGATATTTTTTGGTGTATAATCTCTGTTTATCAGTAGTTGTGACAGTTACAGTGAATAAAAAAAAAGAAAAAAAAAAGAAAATTTGTATTTTGGGAAAACCAAACGGCTTATCTATAACAAAAGATACAAACATGTAGCTAAAATCCAGGGTGTAATACAGCAGAATTACTGTGTAAATACTTCAAAAAAAGCAAGAATGAAATCTCTGAATGTAATTCTTTTCCAATTTAAAATTTAATTGAAAATTAACTGAGCTGTTCATAAAACAGCATGGGGTCACAGATTTTTAATGTAACTTATTGCCAATTAACACAAATGTCTAATCACTGATTTGGCTAATGAGAAGAGGAAAGAAACACCCAGTTAAACATCTCTTCCCCCTTGACCAAGCTCAGCTTGTGTCTAGTACCTTCCCTGCTGGCACCTTACCCTCAGCAAACTTTACCTGCTGGTTTCAATCCCTTCCCTCCCCTGAGTGAGGTGCTGGGTGGGGTGGGAGGTCGAGATCCTACGTAGGTTTCTGCCAGCAGCTCTGTGCTTGTTTCTTACTGCTACTCTTCACAGCGTACTGCTTTTCCTCTGCTGCCTTTTACTTTTCCCCTTGGCGTGGGTCACCCCCGGGCCGCAGCTCCTTGGGTCACACCTCCCTTCACCCTTGGCTGCCCAAGGCCCCAGTCCCTCAGGGCTGTCCCTGCCCAGCTGTGGGTCAGCAGGGTGTTCAGAATTGCACCCCTTTCAGAAGAACACTTTTCCAGCTGGATTTCTACGTGCTTTCAGCCCCTGATGGCTCCTTCGTTACGCCTGCCTGCCTGAGGATGCTGTAACCTCCTTGGGTTTGTTGTTGCCGTTTTGGAGCCTTCCAGGTTGCTCAAGTCGGTGCCGGAACTGGCTGGGACAGGCTGTGACTGATGCGGGGCAGTTTGCTGCCCGTGCCCTCAGAGGCTGCCACTGCAGCTCTCCTGCTTACACCTAGTATGTACTTTGGTTAGTAAAAGGAATTCTTAATATTTAGAAAGACATGTAACTACTGTGGTAAATATAGCATTTGTCTGAGGTCAATTTTTCATCTCAAGATCCTTTCCTCTCCTCTTTCAGGATGAGTATGTGTTTATTTGTAGAATTAACAACTGAAAATGGGTAACAACTTACCAGCTCAGCTGTTTAATTTCATTAGGACACTAGTGGTTTAGTTACTATGCAGTTATGAAGCTGAAATTATTCACTGCATTGAAAGAGGTACTGCAGAAACACGGGAAAGCAAGGAGGCCGTGACAGGAATGACAGTGAGTGGATAGTGCTGTCCTGTCACCTTGAAGTTATCTTGGAAGAGGAGTTTTTGAGGAGTTCTCTTGGACTAATTGTCACAGTATAGTCCTTGCTGTCTCACACGACAAGAAAAATAATAATATAAAGGAAACAACATTTCTTTGCTTGAAAATGTAGCAAACTGGTAACAGAGACCAGTGATGTGAAGAAGCTAGTGAATGTTTCAGTGAGGAATGGTGTAGATAGACCTGGGCTGGATTATTAACTCCTTAAAAAATTTGGTATGTTAGGGGAAGACATAGTGAGCATGCACAGATCACAGGGTTACTGTGATCTAAATGATCAGCAAAAGTTACTTCTGAAGCATTGCGCTGAGCAAGTGCCAGCAGGGTAAATAGTATTTGTCAAGACTGGAGGGGATTTTTTAGTGATCAAAACACTAGACAACAAAGCCTACACAAGGGGCTTCTTGGTGTGAAAGCACTGAAAATCCTGTATAGTTATTATCTATAGACAAATGTTTGAGTGAGATTATATGTTACCCTTCAGCTACTGGAAAGCTGCTATAAGACCTCCCTGGAACCTCCTCTGCAACATCTACTGACTGCAGATGAGAGTTTCTGTTCATGCTTAAGATGCTTCTGAAAATAGGACTGGGCTATCTAATGTACTTACACCTTGCAAGATAAGCAGATAGATCCTTAAAGATGTGTCACAGCTTGCAAGATAAGCAGATCCTTAAAGATGCGTCACAGCTTCCTGCTTGACTGAAATTCTGAATCATGTCAGCAGCATCCAGGCTTAACTGAAGCTTAGAGACTTTTTGGTGCAGTTGTTTCACTATTAAGTTTTCAAAATATTAGCCACTGTATCAAATAGTTTTCAGGGTTTGTTTTTTTTATATGTAGCAAAGAATTTGAAGTTGTGACTGTGATGTACCAAATATAACTTATTAATACTATCGGGATTTCAACTTGAGGGTATTTATGCCAGCTAATGTCTATAATAGCCATTAACTCCACCTGAATGTTGGCATTCTTTCCATTAAATACTCCTTTTTCGAAGTATAAACCTCTGAAACATTAAGAATCATTTAAAAAGAAAAAAAAATACAGCTAGTTAAAAAATTAACCAAATCCTTTTGTTCTTTCTTTGTGTGTGTTTCACTGTAGTTCTGAACTATTAAATTAAACTGTATCATTCAAAGCTTTTAATTAAATTTTTCATCCTACTTTTTATTTCTCTCTGTAGTATAATGAAGAACTTCATTATGTAGAGCCATGTCTGAATGGAACATTAGTTCAAGCAGACAGAGCCAACAAAGAGGTAAGGAATGAAAGTAACAAAACAGGAGAGAGATAGGATGCCACGTGTAACAATGTAACACAATGACCTTTTCCTAGTACAATGATTCCTTTATTAGAATTTATTATTCTCCTTATGCCATTTCAATACAGTCTTATGTGATTCCGTAGGAAGAAAAAGAAATAGCCTCCTAGTCAATTTGATTGAATAAACTTAAAGGAGTACAGAATTATATATAGATATACTGTTAATAAAATTTAGTAATTATTTTAAGTGAAATATTTCAGTTGCTTTAAATTGACCTATCATTCTGTTACCAAAAATGACTGAGGAAGAAATTACGTTCTTAAGTCAAACTAACACTAAAGTTGAAACAAAAATCTCAAAATAAATGAAAACAAATATAATACTATATGAATGAAAAAATCTTACGTTCCAAACAGGTGTATCAATATAATAATGCATTAATTCAAGAAAGTTCTGTGAAAGTGTTAAAATTAATTAAATCCTACTGGCAGTAGGATTTATTGCATAAATTATTAAAGTTATTTCAGTGAAAATTTTACTTGAAGGGAGATTGAAGTATGAATCTGTAGTTTGAAGTTTGGTTTATTGCCTGCCATCCAAATGTAGCTGCTTTGTGCAAGCATTACTCCTTCACACTTCTTACAAGGGTAAGGTAAGATTGTTCATGTCATTTAAAGTTATGAAATCAGGTAGTTAAAAAGTCCTTTGCTTCTGGTTGGGGAAAAGGACTGTTAAAGTAAGCCACTTGTGTTATTATAGAACTTCCTCCCTGGTAAAGATTCCTCTCTTCTTAAAGTGACTTGTCCACCTACAATGAGTCTTCCATATGGCTTGAGAGAGCAGCAGTCTTGCATCTTTAAATACTTCTCTCATTTTACTAAAGGCAAATCAGAAGACTTTCAGGTGAGCACTTAACATTCAGCATGGTAGGTCATTTTTTCTGAAGGAGTCGGTGAGGTATTACAGGAAGCAGAAGTGCTATGTTTTTTCAGTGTGTTGATGTTAAGTCTTTTGACATATACCAAGACAAAATTATTTTGGTCTTATTATGCTGAACTTTACTCCATTGTATCATTCACAAGGGTTATTTGCATTTTACCTGCTTTTACACACCTACGTACATTCTACAGGTATTATTCTTCATGGTTCCTCAAAGTACTTGAGATTCCCCACTGTTGATTATGAGATTATCTGAATATAATTTGGTTGCTATGTGGAATTACATGAACTGTTTCTAATAATTTTGTGTAGAAGACCCTTATTGATGAACTGTGATGCAGTTTTCTAAATGAGCACTTTATTGTGGGTACATCTAATGAGTCATATGAAAGCTGTGCAAGTTCTAGACTTAAAACCAAATATAGTGCCCAGATGTACTGTCTGGAATTAATCCCACTGTTAACCTTTCCATCACTCTGTAACTGATCAAACTGCAGATTACCACACACCCATATGTTACTTAATGTCAGATATGTTTTAATTTAATTGATCAAAAAGTTTTTATGCCACCCAGATGATGCTCAGATTTTATGAAGAGTGCTCAGTTATTCAAAATAGCTAAGTACATTTTCATATTTTGTTCTTCAGAGTAAGCTTCAATATAATTTCTAGTTAAATATTTATTTTTTTTTTCTGGAATCACTTTGTGCTTTTTTTTTTTTTTTTTTTTTTTGCCTATAAGTTGTATAATACATCCAAGGTTTTGGAGAATAACTAAAAATTACCTCTTTTACCAGTTTTTCATATTATTGAGCTAGTTCTTGATCCATCCTTGAAAGTCCAGAACTAGAGAATAAACTTGATATGTAGCATGTAATAGTTCCATGTAATTTTATATACTATGAGTTTGTCAGTCTTCATTTTTTTGCCCACTTCTGTGAATTTGTGTATTATTACTGTTTTTCTAGTTTATGTAATTAAGTTAAAAATCTATTTGCCTGAACACTGGAATGCACAAAAATGCCATTGTCCCAATTATAGCTCAGAATATGAAGCAAATGCTGTTTAGGAGATGGACAGCCCCTCAATCCTGTGTAGGTGATTCAATTACCATGCTTTGGAATTCATAGTTACCAACTACTTTCTGAATTATCTGCTATTGTAAGATCTGATATTTTGTGATTTGAATATACTGACATGGCAAAATTACCTAGCGACCTCAAAACCCCTTCACTTTCTTTGAATTGAGCTTTCTTTAATCTCTAAACTTGAAAAAAAACGCAAAGAAATAGAAGAAGATGGTCTAGATGATCTTCTGTCCTTGTCACTTGAAATTCATTTGTAGTGAGCTAAAGGGCAAACCAACTTCTCAGCAAAATAAATGGAGTTAAATTATACTAACTTGGAGCAGATGAGTCAGGTCTGGACTAAGGGAGATCAGATCCTCTTTTTTTTTTTTTTTTTTTTCAGGGGAGAGCTGAGTGTGTTGTTTGCTTCTGCTGAGAGAATTCCCTTCTAGTAGCACAGTCACTGCCCTGCTCATCCTGACTTCTTGCACAGCTGCAGCACCTGCAGCACCTGCCCAGCATTCTAAGATGCATGCATAAGTAAAAGAGCTGGTTTGTCATTGACAGCAATCAGCTGCCTCAGGCAATTGGCCTACAGCCAGAGCCTAGTCTGTTCCCATGCCCATGTTGTCCAGGTAAAATGAAACCCAGGAGCATCTTCAGGGAACGGAGCATAAGGTGTTGTTTTATTTTTGTTAGGCTACAGGAAACTGCTTCAGCCTTAGGGTTTTTGAGCAGCCTTGGAAATTACTGCTTCTTGATGGTGTTGGTGCTGAACATTCAATGGGATTACAGGTAGCAAATGAACATGCTCTTCCACATTCAGGAATGGGTTACAGAAATTCTTCTCAGTAATGTGAAGGGAATGTAACAGGCTTCCAGAGAACCAGACTTTCAAAAAATCCGCTTAGTCTTGGGGAAGGAGGGGGAGAGGGTGGAGAGGGATCTGTCTGGTGTCTGGTTTACATATTTTTTCAGTGAAACAGTGTGTTCAAAAGTATCTCTTCTGGTTTTGGGAGGAAAACAGTATTGTAAACACAGTGTTAGTTCCACCCTTGGCTCTAGATCACTTGCTATTATTTTCTGGACCACAGTGTGGGAACTAGTTCCCTAAAATAAAATAAATAAATAAAAAAAACCCCCAAAACAAAACAAACAACCACACTTATTAAAGTATGAAAAGCAGTTAAAGCATTGTAACCCTCTTATATCAAGTCTGTGGTAACACTTTCCCTTGAGTAATGTGGCACAGTTTTCAGTTCCAAGTGTCAGGAAAGATATTATTTAAAGCTCACTTTCCTGCCCCACCCCTTGGTGACACTAGAGTAAATCTGTGCAAAGTGCTTACAGAGCTAGGAAGCTGCACTTCTGTTTGAATGACGACCCAGTTATTATTCATGAAGCTGCATTCATTTCCTCTACACTGTGCAAGCCATATTCCAGTTGCATCTTTATTTAAAAGTGTCACTTCCCCTACCTCTGTAGTTAATATTTTAGGTTTCTCTTCTCACAGCCATTTTAGTAAGGGGTGAAAAGTTAGATTATCTCGTTCATTTATGTGATATAATAGCCCAAGAACCTGCATTGTTTTGTTAAGTAAAGGGAGCAGTTAGGAAAGAACACGAGTCAGGAGTACTTTTACCTTTGCAACTTTCATCTTAGGCAAATATGTGTTTTGAAGATTGGTACAGATTTCACAGTGATTGGGTCATCACACCTGTAGGGGTTATTTGTTCAAAATCACTCCTTGATTAAAGCAGTGATACACATCTCTCTAAATGCATTGCAGTAGATTTTTAAAGGACACCAAATAAGTTTAATGGAATGAAATGTTTAATGTATTAATGCATTTTCATTACAGGGAAGGAACAAATGTTGGAGAAAAAGGTGTTCAGTCCTGAATATCCAGCATGTTGATAGAGTAGTGTTTTTCCTTAAGAGTGAAAATACAGTGAAAGAAGTAATGATTCTAAACATCTAAACCTGTTCCGTACCTGTTGTAAGAACAGTAATGTAGTCCTGAGTTATGTATCTTATTTAACTTTATTTTTTACTTCTAGAAACATCTATAAAATCTATAAAGGAAGAGATACTAGTATAATGTTTAGAAATTTCCACAGGTTTTGATAGAATACAACTTCAGATAGGACCACGATATGAGTGATATTAATGTAAGGGCCACCAGTTTTACTAATATACAAAGTAGGCATCCCTGTACTAGGTTTCTTTCAACATAAAGTGTTTTTGCTTTCATTTTTAAAATAGGCGAATGCTGTATTTTTTTAACAAATATTTATATTTTCATGTGATATGGGAGGCATCGAGTTGAATCCACTTACTTCCAAAAGTTTTCATAGCCTAGCATTTGTAATAAAATTTTTGATTTGGCACATACCTGCATTGAAGGTTCAGTTTAGATGTAAAGTCATATTCTCAGAATGTTGTAAGCTATCCCTAATTTGCAAAGCTTACTTTGAGTTTTGTTTATTGCAAAGATTAAATCTGTAATCATATCGGGTAACATAAATGAGGTTGAAATTAATCTGTGATCCTAAATGTGCCTTAGCAATATAAAATGTGTAACATATATTTGAATTTTACCAGACTAATTTATATTTTGGCCTTAGCATTAAACAGCTGCTACCTTGAAGTGTATCAATTTGCTATACACAATTTTAAAAAAGAGTGGGAAATAGTTCAGACGTTATTCTGTCACTGTCTGCACTTTCTCCACAAATTACAAACATGTGGACCTGCATATTTTAATACTAGTTTTCTTGGGCCAAGAGGTTTTCATCTTTGAGAAACTCCGTGTTACAATTTACCTACCCCAAAGGAATCAGATGACAATCTGATTTAATGTAACTCCAGATTTAAAGTAACAATGTTGCAATATACATTCCTCTTTAATATGCTGTTTTAATGTACTATATATAGGTTGAGGACATTTCTCTGTAAATGTTTCCAGATGAAATATATCATCTTCTA